GTCAAGCCGACAATTTAGCGATAACTCTTTGTTGCCTTTTTTCTGCATCGCCGGTATCATAATGTTATTCGTTATCCTTCCTCCATGCATATTTTCTTTATTTTCGCAATACCCTACGCATTCCCCCCATCCTCCTCAGCTCTTTTTTGCGGAGGCTCCTCTCTGGAGAGCCTCTGGGAGCCTCACAAAGTTGTTTCAGGCTTTCTTAAAGCCTTCTGGAAGCCTCCTGTCTGGGGGCCTCTGGTGGCTTCCTCGGGCCACCCTGCCTCCAACCGCGGTCTCCCTGAACGACCGGGTCACGATTTGGAATGCTTCGGAGGGTGTCTTTGGGCCATCTTTGGCCGCCATGGGGCTTTCTGAAGGCCATCTTGGACCCGTGTTGTGCCGTTTTGGGGCTCTCTTGGACTGCCTGGGAGCCCTTTCGGGTGGTTGTGGGGCGATTTTGGAGCCTCCCATGCGGCTTCGGACGCCCAGAAGACCGCCGTCTTGGAGCGTCGGGAAGCCGAAAAGAGGAGAACCCCAAAATTCACCAAAAACCAACAGAAAATCAATGATTTGTGCCTCGGGGGGCCTTCTTGGGAGTGCTCTTGGAGGCCTTTTGTGGGGCCGTCCTGGAGGCCTCTTGGGCCATCTTGAGGTCACGTCGGTCACTCTTGGAGCGCTCTTGTGCTGTCTTGGGGGTCTCTGGGACGTCTCCGATGACCTCCATGATCGCTCTAGGTGTGCTGGCAAGGCTTGGCAAAACGCCCTGCAAGGCCCGGGGGCCGCTTCGCGGCCCGTCCGGAGGGTCCCAGAGGCCCAGATCCCGGGAGTCCGGTTTTTTTTTGGGGGGGGGGGACGGGTTTTCCCCCCGCCCGGGTTTGTAAAAATATAGGAAGAGGAACATACACAATTATACAGATAGATTCACAAATGTTAGGGTACGTGTATACATGCATGTACAGATGCACGAAACGAGCTGCGGGATTGGACGCATCACTCCGCCTTCAGCTCTGACGGTCCTGCCGCAAGAGGGAGACGGCCCCCCCTCTCGCAGACGAAGCCCGCCCGGCGGCCCGCGGGTCCCCCCCCCTCTCCGCCCGAGGACGGCGCCCGAGGAGAGCCTGATGGCGTGGGCGAAGGGCACCATGGCCGCCCGGATGCTGGCCAGGCCTCGTCGTCGTCGCCTGGCAAGGCTTAGGCCTGCACACGGGCAGCCCCTCCAGAGTGTCCTGGCTTCCCTGGTGAGGCCGGCTGGTACTACCTTGAGGACTATGTCTCTGGACGCCCGAAATGGGTACTGAAAGAATGGGTACTATGCCCAACAGCGGATATTGTTCATTTTATTTTGAACAAGATCCGCTGTCCACGCCGCCGCGGCCTGTGTCCATTCGAGACAGAAGGCCGCCCGCCCAACAGCGGCCGCTGTTGGTTTGGGACAACATTTGTTGTTGGGCATTGTACTCATTCTTTCGGTACCCATTTCGGGCGTCCAAAATGTCTGTGCGCAGTCCAAAACCTTGCCAGTGTCACTGTCGCCAGCTCCGCGACGTCAAGGCTGACAAACGGATTGTTCGAGAAAGGAGAACTTTCCATCAACATAAGCGTTCGGAGGTCCGCGTGGCTTCTTTCATCGGCGCTGGACCCCCCCTCGGGCGGCGCCAGAGAGGGGGTCCGTTGCCGATCCAAGACACGCGCGCGGACCTTCGACAGCTCGGCCGATTTGCCTTCCGGTGGCGCACTCCTCAGCGTCGTCGAACCCGTCCACATCCCCATCGGGCCATCCCATCCCCCTTCGTTCGGGACATGCCGTGCGAAGCCCGAAGGAACAGCGTATATGGTCCACGGCGCCGCCCCCCCCTTGCACTGCTAATGGGATCGCGCCCCCTCCCCCCTCCCCCCCTTCGCTGGATGGGTACCCCAGATTTCGTAATAAAAGGGAGGGGGTCACAACCCTCCCAGACGAGAAGTCTTAGACCCCCCCCCAGACCATCCATGAAAGGGCGGCCCTTTGCCCAGACCCCCCGAGCCCTCCAAGACAGCTCAAATCAGACCCCCCCCCAAAATGCGACCCCCCCCACTTTATCATGGAATCCGGAGTACGCCCCTGAGCCTCGTGAAGACCACGCGAGTGAGGTCGCCCCCCCTCCCAGCCCCCCCCGTGGTCGTGGCCCCGTGGGCGTGGCGTGGTGGTGGGTGCCGGTGCCCCCCTCTCCCCCTGGGTGTGGAGTGGCTCGTCGTCGTCGTCGTCGTCGTCTTCCGTCGGCGTCCGCGTCCGCGTCCGCGACCGCATCGTCGTCGCCTTCCGTCGTCGTCGTCGTCGTCGCCTTCCGTCGTCGTCGTCGTCGTCGTCGTCGTCGTCGTCGTCGTCGTCGTCGTCGTCGTCGTCGTCCCCCCCGTTCCATCTGGGAGGGGGGCTGTGGAACCTTGAGGCCCATCTCATCTGGGGGGGCTGTGAACCCTCGGCACGGGACGCGTATCCTATCCAGGGGGGTGTAATCCGGCCAGCGGGACCAAGGCCACGCCAGTGGTTTATCATGGATCGGTCAAACGATGCTCAGCTCCGATTTGCTCCGAGTTGAGGCTTCGGCTCTGGTGTACGGTAGCTTCGGGCCGCCAGCGGGCGTGACGCCTCGCTGGCTGGGTCGCTGCCGCCCTCGCCGTCCTTGTCCTCTTGCCAGCGTGCGGCGCCTTCGCGCCGCGCCGACGCGGCGGCGGCCTTTCCCAGCACGGGCGCCTCATCGGCGGCCGAGCTTCGAGCCACACCTCCGGTGGCGCCCCCTTCCCCACGAGGGCCGAGCACGCGCGTCGAGCCGCAGCCTCCGGGGCCGCACCCACCCGGGCTTGGGCGAGAGGGGGTCCGAGCGCAGAGTCGTGGCAGGAGCTTGCGCCGCCGGGGCCGCACGGGCCCGGGCTTGGGCGCGGGATATCCCGCAGGACCCTGCATGGGCCTGCCTCGCCCGGGTCTGGGCTGGGCCCGGGCCAGCAGAGCCTTGAGGCGTTTCGGCCCCTCCCCCCCCCCCCCCGGTGGGGAGCATCCCAGCGGCAGGCGCCCCGCGGCGCTGGCGGGGTGCCAGGACCTCCGGGCCGCGGAATCCCGCCTCGCGCCGCTTACCCCCGCGGGCAGCGGGCCCCCCTTCTCGCTGAGGCGATGGAGGAGGCGATTTGAGGAGGGGGAGGAGGAGGAGGAGGAGGCGATGAAGGAGGAGGAGGAGGAGGAGGAGGAGGAGGAGGAGGATGTGAGATGGAGGAGGAGGATGCAGACAGAAGGGAGTGAACGGGGAGGGAACATGAGGATGAGGATGGGGGATTCGGATGAGGGGCATGAAGATGATGCTGCTTATGCTGGTGCAAATGCTGCTGCTGCTGATGACGATGCTGATGATGATGATGATGATGATGATGATGATGATGCTGATGATGATGATGATGATGATGATGATGATGATGATGATGATGACGATGATGATGATGATGATGATGATGATGATGATGACCATGGTGGTCATATTAATGGTGATGTTGATCATGCTGACGATGATGATGATGCTGATGATGATGACGACGATGCTGCTGCTGATGATGAGGATCAGGATCAGGATGAGGATCAGGATCAGGATCAGGATGAGGGTGAGAATGAAGACGAGGACGAGGATTGATGCAGATGATGATGAGCATGATGATGAGGAGAGGATGGTGCTGGTGTATTGGTGACGGTGATGGTAATGCTGATGATGAGGAGTTGGAGGATACGGCTGGTTATGCTGATGGTGACGTTGGTGATGATGTTGATGATGATGATGGTTATGATGGTGATGATGATGATGATGATGATGATGATGATGATGATGATGATGATGATGATGATGATGAGCATGATGATGAGCATGACGGTGAGAAGAGGATGGTGATGGTGATGGTATTGGCGACGGTGATGGTAGTGCTGATGATGGTCAGTTGGAGGATACGGATGGTTATGCTGGTTGTGACGTTGGTGATGCTGTTGATGATGATGATGATGATGATGATGATGATGATGATGATGATGATGATGCTGCTGATGATGATGATGATGATGATGAGGATGCTGCGGTATGACATGTGGTGATGATCGGTGATGTTTCCGATGAGGATGGTGTTGCTAATGATACTGATGATGACAATGATGATGAAGAGGATGAGGAGGACGAGGATGATGAGGATAATCACCAGTAGTGGATGGAGGGGGGAGGGAGTGGTGAGTTGTGCGAGGTGGCGAGGATGAGAATGAGGATGAGAAACAAGAAGAGATCGATGATGAGGGGGCGAAGTGGGGGATGCTGATGCTGCTGATGATCATGATGCTGATGCACGATGCTGACGTGAATGCTGATGCTGATGCGGATGAAGAGGACAAGGATGATGATATCAAGGACGCTGTTGATGATGATGCTGATGATGACGTGAATATGGAGATGCAACATGGTGCGGAGGAGGAGCCCGATGCGGTTCATGAAGTGGTGGAGACTGGAAGCGAGCTTGGAGGTGGAGAAGGAGGAGGAGGTATGATTGGGGAGGGGGGAGAGGAGGAGCAATCAGGAAGGTGATGGATGAGGAACAGCATCAGAAAGGGAGGAGGAGGAGAGGAGGAGGAGAGGAGGAGGAGGAGGAGGAGGAGGAAGGAGGGAGGAAGGAGGAGGAAGGGGAGGAGGAGGAATGAGGCGGAGGAGGAGGAGGAGGGGGGCGGAGGAGGCGGAGGAGAAGGAGGAGGAGGAGATGAGGCGGAGGAGGAGGAGGCGGAGGAGGAGGAGGAGGAGAAGAGGAGGATGAGGAGGAGGGGGGGGATGGAGGCCCCACGAGGTGGACGAGTGGGCGAGTGAAGGGGAGGAGGAGGAGGAGGAGGAGGAGGAGGAGGAGGAGGAGGAGGAGGAGGAGGAGGAGGAGGGGCAGGAAGAGGAGGAGGAGGAGGAGGAGGAGGACCAGCGTACGTAACCCCAGCACGCGTCAGTGGTACGGCAGTGCCCTCGGACCCCCTCCATGGA